TCCGAAGCCTCGGGCCTTCTCACAAGTCATTGTATGATCTTGTTCTCTCATTCTCTCTTTCATTCTCTCTCTCTCTCTCTCTCTCTCTCTCTCTTTCTCATCCCCCAAACTCCTTAACGTCTCAGTCTTGCCTAATGTGACCTTCCTCAGAGGAACCCTCGCCCACCTGCTCATCCCCATACGTGCCCCATATACGTGCTTGTTGGAGTTTTACCGGCACCCTGTCCTCCAGCACAGCTCTGACATTGGTTCTTCTGTGGAATGTCTGTGGCATCCACAAAGGGAGGCACTGTGTGCCCTGCTCACGTGCCCAGGACACAGTAAACAATAAACTTTGCTTGAGCTCATTTGCAGAGGACTCACTGCAGCAGCCCATTGGCTACTCAGCCTTGTCCAAATTTGGAAAACATTTCATTCCCCTGAGAAACACAAAGACGGTTAACTCTGACCTAAAGAAGTCAGCCCAGCCCCTCGGTGGTACAACCCCACCATCTTTCCTGCTCCTTTTTTCTTCCTGCCCCAAATATATATGCTTCACCGAAACATCCCCAGGCTAGAAACTCAGATTCAACTACCTTTGCTTACTCCCTCAAGCCTGCCCAGTGCTCGGGTGTTCATGAGTTAAGTGACTGGTGTTAAGACACTAGCTTGGGCTACAGCTTCCCTGGTCACATTTCTGCCAGGTTGTTGTCATTTATCTTCATTCTACAGCAGACGAAACCAAAACTCTCAGAGTTTTGCAACCACACACCCAGCAAAGCCTCACCCAGCCTGCATTCACTCTTGATTGTTCTGAATAATTCACTGGATTTTCCTTTGTTTTCATGAAACAAGGCCTGACTGGTTCATGATGCATGGGCTTGATAGTTTTCTGCCTAGATGTCTGATCTGAGATATTAAAACTCTGCACAAATCCAAGAACTCTGGGTATATCTGAACACATCCCAGGTTGTCATCTGCAAAGGTCTATTCTGCCAATATCCACTTAGACTTGGGACTATTGGGAAAATGTACCTTAATGGAAAAATAACAAATGAGGGGGGTCTGGGTGACTCAGTCCATTAAGTATTTGACTCTTGATTTTGGCTCAGGTCATGATCTCACAGTTTGTGGGATCAAGTCCCTTGTCAGGCTCTGTGCTGAGAAAAGAGCCTGCTTGGGATTCTTTCTCTCCCTCTCTTTTTGACCT